TTTCACTTAAAACCGTCCTTATGATTGCTATTCAATTAGTATAGAATACATTCTATTAAGATAAATATTCATTGCTTTTTTTTTTGTGTGTGTTTAGATTACACGTATGGAATATGTTCATTCAAAAAATTTAATTTATCGCGAGTAAATTTTTCTTTGAAAATTAATTCATATTTATTAGTTTTTTTTTTTTTTTCTTTTTTGAAGTGTTAAACCTGAAAATTTTCTTATTGGACGTTCATCTACACGTAAACAACATTTGATACATATTATTGATTTTGGATTAGCTAAAGAATATATTGATCCTGATACTGGTCGACATATACCATTTCGTGAACATAAAAGTTTAACGGGTTTGTTTAATAGAAAAACATTTGAATTTTTTTTTTTTCTAAGTCATTTTGTTTTTCCAGGTACTGCGAGATATATGAGTATTAATACTCATCTTGGAAAAGGTTAGATTTCCTATTATAATATGAAAATAATTTTTGTTTTCTATTTGATAGAACAAAGTCGTCGAGATGATTTAGAAGCATTGGGGCATATGTTTATGTATTTTTTACGTGGTAGTTTACCGGTATGACATTTCTATTATATATATATATATATATTTGATAGAAAAGTTAAATTGAAATGATTTTCAAGGATAAGATTTTTTTTTTTTTGGATATAGAATGTTCAATGTCATTAATTGAAGAGATTGATTATTAAGGTCACTAATGGAATTTAACTAAGTCTAGACTAAAGTGTGTAGTGAAAAAGGAAGTGATAGGTATTCACTCATTGACCATGAGAAAAGAAATAAAAAACATAGAGTAGGAATTGTAATACAAATGTTTTTCGCAAGATAATTATAAATTTCATGATGTTCAATATCTTATGTTTGATTGAAAATCTTTTTTGTTCTTTTAATTTTAGTGGCAAGGATTAAAAGCTGAAACATTGAAAGAACGTTATCAAAAAATAGGTGATACTAAACGTGCAACTCATATTGATGTATTATGTCAGAATCAACCTGGTATGATAAAATAAATTTTACCTATTTTTTATTTTTTTTTATTTTAAATAATAATTTTCCTTTTTTGTTTTGTTATTTGTAGAAGAATTTGCTAAATATTTAAAATATGTACGAAATTTAGATTTTTTTGAAACTCCTAATGTAAAAATAATTTTTTAATTTATGAATTATTTTTTTTTCTTTATAATTTTCTTCATATTTAGTATGAATATTTGAGAAAATTATTCAAAGATTTAATGGATGCTAGAAATTATATTTGTGATTATAATTTTGATTGGGTAGAAAAAATGCAAAAATTAACAAATAAAGTATATGAATGAAAAAAAAAGAAAAACTTGTTTTATTTCGATATTTTGTTTTTTTTTTGTGTGTAATAGTCTCCTCCTAGTAATGCTCAATATCCAACATCAACTCAACAGGAAACATCTTCTAGTCCAGCAGTACGACAATTAAATAAAGTAAGTACAAAAACAAAAAAAAAAAAAAGTAGAATATATTGACCTGTACAAACTAATTAGTCTATTACAAAATTCCCAACCTATCTCTTTCTCTCAGACGAGCAAAAGTGGTTCAGGACTTTTAAATGCTCATCTTTCACCATCAACACAACAAGTACATGGATCCATGCAGGTATTTAAAACTATGTCATCGTCTGTCTACCTATTCCTCTAGAATGAATGGCTCGTAGTTATATAGTTGCTATTGCTTCTTCTTATTAATATTATGATAATTATAATTTAAATTATATCAAATAAATAAATATATATATATTGATAATATTTTTTTTTTAGTTAATAAGTTCACCCGATGAAGATACTGATCGTATTGATCGAGAACATGCACATATTATTACATCATCATCTCCGGCTAATGTTGATGTTATTAGTGATACAAAGTAAGTCATAAGAATAAAAAAAGGAAATGAAATAATAAGATTTCTTGTAAAAAAAATAATTATTGAAAATTTATGTTTTTTTTTTTTTTTTAATTTAGATGTTGTTGTTTTTTTAATCGTCGTACTCGACGTACAAATAATAAACAAACGAGAAAATAATTTTTTTTTTTAAACGGCATTATTTACTTAAGAACAGTTCAAGACACCATATACGGCATGTAAGTTAATAGATAATCTCATTTGTCTAATAGGAAAGAAGCAAAAAAAAAAAAGGTCACAAACTACAATTCAGTACAGGAAAAAAAAAAGAGTAATTAACGATAATAAATAATTATTATTATCGTATGTTTTGACTTTTCATAATAGGAGAATCAAATATCAAAAAATTAATAAATTTGCTTTAGGCTATATAGATCTTCTAGATTATGAGATTTCATTTCTAACTTAATTGTTTCTTTCCTAAGGTTAAATATGAAGGTCAACCTAATGATTCTTAATAAACATGCAAGACAAATTCCTATTAGCTAACAGCACACAAAGCTACATTATAATGGTCGATTAACATAACATGTATCGAGGGATACAAAATGAAAGAACATCAAAAATGTGTTCTATCTCTCTCAAATGGATAGTCATTGTGTCCAGAACACAGTATGATTCGAGATTTTTTGCTTATTGAAGAAAGTGAATGCATTTTTTCAGAGAACTACCATCTCCTTCTGAGATTTTATATGTGTGTGTGTGTGTATGCATAAAATATATTGGTGTGATTATCTCTTGAGGCAAGATAACCTTGTAGTCGTCTGTAATCACGGAAGAAATATGATTTTTTTTTTTCACTTCCAATCTACTAATTCTTTATCAAACATTACTAAATACAAATGTATTTAATATATATTTATATATATTTTCATTTTAGTGTTGTCAATTCGGTTCTATATCTATTCATATTTTGTTCCTTTTTGTACAGTGATTTTGTTGGTGTTGGTAAGAAAATAAAAAACAATAACTACACACACAATAAGAAAAATTTCACTGTTTATCCCTTCTAAATGATACAATAGATAAATCTTGCCGTTGCTCTCTCTATTGTTCATTGTTATTGAGTGTGCGTGTGTGTGTGTGGGTGTGTGCATGTATCATTGTATTTCAAATCATTTCTTTTCTCTTGTCAATTATATCAACTTGTTTATTATTATGAAAACAAAAAAAGAAAACGTTTGCTTATGCTTTTTTTTTGTTCTTCTTTTCTTTATCTCTCATTCTCTTTCTTTCTTTCTTTTTTTTTTGTTTTGTTTTATCTTCTGCTATTGTCTGTACTTGAACGTATTGCTTTGTTCGAAACAGAGAAAAGAAAGATAAAATGTTTTTTATTTATTGTATAAAAAAAGAAAAAACAAAACAATATAAAACCACCGAGCAAACACATACTGAGAGAACAGTCTAGGTTAATTATATTTGTATATAAAAGGCTGATAAAAACACATGCACAAAAAAAATAAAATATACCTTTTTATTATCTTTGATTAGAAAAAAAAACAAATACTGATGAAAACGATTTAGTACCTCTCGAATTTTCACAAAAAAAAATCCTATGTGTATCGTGTTCTTTGATTTCTTTTTTTTTGTCTATAGCTTGTTTTTTTTTTTTTGTTTTTCTGTACTTCTTCGTACAAACATTAGTTTCTTTTTCCTTTCTTTCTCTTTATGTTCGTCATATTTTTCGTTTTCAATATCATTTGTTATGCGCTTATATGGTGTGTGCGTGTGTATTGAGAAAAGAAAAAAAAAACAAAGACATTAGCAGTCAAATATTTAAAAAGAGATTAAAAGAAACAAAAAAGAATATTTTGATTGTTGTTGTTGTTTTGTTTCAAGAATAATTTATTTGATTATGGATGAAAAAGAAGTACCTAGTCTGGCTGAAATACATATAGCAGCAAGTCATCTACGTTCTATATCACTACCAATTACACCTATTCTAACAAGTACATTATTAAATACATTAACAGGACGAAATATTTACTTAAAATGTGAAAATTTTCAACGTACAGGTTCATTTAAAAGTCGTGGTGCTCTTAATGCTGTACTTAATGCAATGAAAATTGATCCGAATTTAAAAGGTTTTGTTACACATTCATCCGGTAATCATGGACAAGCATTGTCTTATGCTGCATCAATTGTTAAACGACCATGTATTGTTGTTGTTCCTCGAGATACACCAAAAAATAAAACAGATGCTATTGAACATTATGGTGCCGAATTAGTTATGTGTGATCCAACACCTGTAAGTCGAATATCAACTTGTTTACGAATTAGTCAAGAACGTGATTATTTAATTATACCACCATATGATCATCCAGATGTTATTGCTGGTAAGAGTGAATTTTCTTAGAATGATTTAATTTATTCGAAAGTTTTTTTTTTTTTTGTTTTCGCTCAATGATAAGGTCAAGGAACAATTGCTGTTGAACTTCTTGAACAAGTACCTAATCTTGATGCAATATTAGTACCAGTCAGTGGTGGGGGCCTTATAAGTGGTATTGCTCTATATGCTAAACGTATTAATCCACATATTCGAATATATGCTTGTGTACCTGAAGGAAAAATGCTTGAAGAATGTTTAAAAGCAGAAAAACGTTTATGGCCTGAACCTCCTCAATTTCTTAAAACTAAATGTGAAGGTATTTTAATATGACAAAAAAATTTTTTTTTTTTTTTTTTTTTGTCATAAAAATATTTTTGTTTTTCTAAGCATGTCGTTTACAACAATGTGGTACACTTACATTTCCAATAATGTGTTCATTAATTGAAAAACAAGTATTTACTATATCCGATAAATTAATGATTGATGCAACACGATTTGCATTTGAACGACTTAAATTAGTCATTGAACTTGCTGCTGGATTATCACTTGGTGCTATAATATCTTATTTTGATCAATTAGATCCAAATATTCGTAATGTAGGTATTATTTTATGTGGTGGAAATATTGATTTAAGTGTACCATTACCATGGCTTCAAGAAGATAATCAATAACATTGTGTGTGTGTGTGTTTTTTATAATCATTTTGTCTTAATTTCTAATCAAATTTCTATACTTCTTGATATGTTAGTTGTTGTTGCTGAAGATGCATTTTCATTCATATTTTGACGACGAAAATAAAATAAATCTATATGAGAATCATTATTATGATAATTAGCAGTGTTAGAAGTAGGAATAGGAGTAGTTATATGAATTTTTTTGTTCTTTTCATCTTGTATTTGTCGTCCTGTTCTAACACTTCGTTCTAATATTTTTAAATAGGTTTGTTTATCTAAGTCATGTGATATGGATTTAGTAGCTAAATCAAAATTATTTATATTTAAATCATTTTCAATATCATTGTCTTTTTTTGAAGCTTCAACATAATATGTTCTATATGTTTTTTGATGCAAATAACTAAAAAGAAACAAAAAGAAAAATATTCTATTAAATTAAAAAAAAATGATTTTATTTTATTTTATTTTACTTCAAACTAACCGTAAAATTTTTGGTTGTAAGGCACAAATTAAAATAAAAAGACATATGCCACATATTGCTAATATTGTTATACTAATTAGTATGACTGCAAAAAGATCCATAGAAAAAAAAAAACAATGAATGTCAATCGTTGATAAACCATATTCTCATCGTTATCATCATCTGGCTACTGACATCACCCGAGTCTTATCAAATGTCATTCCAAATGGAGTCATTATAGGAAACAAGAGAAGATGAATACGTATATGAATAGCCTGGAAACAATGAACATCAAAGTAAATCAGTAAGAACTGACTAGTAATAAAGCATAGCGGTTATATCTCTTACTCGTTCTCTTAATATATACAAAAAATAATTTCTGATTCTTTTAACTTTGGCTAACATATACTTTGTCTATTTGTTCGGGTCCGAATGCTCGTTTTATGTAGACTTAATGATCGTTTGAGAAACAAAAACCAATTGAAATAAAACTATTCATTGCCGGATACGAGAACGATCAATACAAACATTTATTTTATCTAAGGAAAAAAAAAAGTCAAAAAAGTTAAGAAATGAATGGAAAAAAAAAATAAGCTAAAACAAATGTTAACATTAATGACTTGATGAAAGAAAAGGAAATGTGTTAGTATTAATAGGTTTCTTTTTTTTGTCTATGATGTGTTATTTGTACTACGTCTGTTTTATACATACATTGATATAAATATAAATATATATATATATTTATATATATATATATATGTATCTATGCGCGTGCTGAATGTTCCGGGATGATTATATCGTGTCAAGTTTCTCATGAGACTAAATCTTAATTGAATGTAAACTAACTGTTTTCTTTTTGTCACAATTGATCAAACAGAATTAATTTGTCATCAATGATTTTCTCTTGAAAGCAAAATAATACTTAAATATGATGTGTTAATTTTGTATTAACTAATTAATAAATAAATAATTCAAATGGTAATAACAATAACGTTTTTTTTTTCTTTTTCTTGATATAAAAATTTCATAAGAATTTTTCTTAATGTAAAACAATCAAATAATTTGAATAATTAATCTTATTCTAGATCTCAAAATTATTATAAACAAGTTATTAGTTATCCATTATTATGCTGTCAAAATGTCAATCAACAAATCATAAATATTAAATAATTAGTATGTCCAAAACAAGACAAAACAAAACAAATTCTATCAAAAAATAAAAATATTCAAAAATTAATTAAATATAGAAAATAATGTGTTAATAATTTTATTATTCGTTGTTTTTTTTAGTATTCTTTTTTAAAATTTGTGGAAGTAAACTTCAATTATATTAATCATTGTGTCTCATTTGTATGGCTTTAAGATTGTCACATTATTGTGTTTCTACTTTTTTACAGAAGTTTTTAATAACTTAATGCTAATCTTAATGACAGTATTTACATGAATTTCATGCATGACAAACTATGAAAACGCTTAAGAACATTAATAGTAAAAGAACATCATTATGTAATAAATGTTCATTAAAAACTGGTCTATTTAAATAGATTGTAGTTTTTTCTTCTTTGTTCTCTTTTTTTTTATCATATATATAATAGTTTCTAAAAGACTGCATATCACTCCGTATGGTATGTATGAAGTAATCTAAATATTGTTGGTATGATAAAGTGCATTGACTATTACTCTTCCAAAAAAAAACAAATAGCTCTTGGTATAACTCAGTTACATTACTTTTTTTTTTCTTTATTTCTCTAAATCATCATCCTGACTATCGATGAATAATGATGATTAGCTCGAAATGATATGATACTACTTTACTTGATATATTCATATCAAATCGATTGATATTTATTGTATGTGTGATCATGTTCACTTTTTTTTTCTTCTTCTGTTAATCAAACCTATCGCAAGAAAAAAAAAAAGAATAAAAGATAATTGGCATCATTTTAAAGATATCTTTATGATTTCATATTTTGTTACTAGTAATGCTTCATGTCATATTCTTGTTCATTTCTATCTATATTAAATGAGTAGATTCGACCAAAAAAAAAAAAAAAAACGAAACCATCCATCCTTTATATCAATCAATCGTATACATGTCGAAATTCTTTACATAGTTACTAATGATTACCATACAGTTGAAATTCCATTTTCTGATATGAATAATAATAGTTACTTATCGATTAAAAAAAAAATATTAGATAAAGTATGTATATCATTCATTTATCTATTTATATCCTCAACAGAAATTCATTTATTTTTTTCTTTTTTTTTATTTCGAATTTCATTTTCTTTTAATAGTTTGTCATTATGAATTGAATTCATAAATAACTTCAATGACTTTCATTTAAGTAAAAATGTATGCATTTAGATATTCTTTTGATATATTCAACTGTATGTATCGTTAATTGATAGACTAGATGATTGTTTTATAATTACTTAAGTATAGTAAAAAGACAATAGAAGAAAATATAAGTGAGAACAAAAAACTAAAAAGATGAGTGAGAAGCTTTAAGCATCACACCAAGTAATTGCATCCATATCTTCTTGTCTTTTATGTCGTCTATCTGTCATTCGATGATGACAATGTTGTAGAGTGCTAAAGCGGAACCTATTTAATGTTTCTAATTGCTGCTCGAGTAACAACTCTTTCATACTTCCTCTTAAATTGATTGTGCGTTGTGAATAAAAAAAAAAAAAAAGAAACAGAGACAAGAAAAAACAACATATACACAATGGTGATGAGTTAGATGATAGAAGTAAAAAAAAGAAGCTGAACGAGTAAAAGAAAAAAGCTATGACTTTGTACACCTGCAAGCAGACAAATAGAGAATATTAACAAATGAAAAAGACGGTAGGATTTGATATAATCATCAGTCTGATGGGATTTTCTTACATATATATATATATCGTTGACTAATACTTCTTGTTGATCAATAATTATATATATGTTAACAAGAGAAGAGATTGAATTAATCAGCTACAACATAAATTATCATTAGTCTTTTTTTTTCTTCTTCTATGTAATACTTCGCATGAATGATAATTTGAAATGATTATCATTATCATTTGACTCTCAATTAGTGATTTTGACAAAGAAGCAAAAAAATCCAGGTCCCATTTAACTTCTATAACTTTTTGCTGGATGCTCATTGAAGACAAATGAAGCATTATTATCATCTTTGTCGTCTCTTGTACACCTGACAATTGTAATTTGACACGTATGAGTTTAGTTAGCAATCAAAATGAGAGACAGAAGAGAAAAAGCAATGATGATAATGATGATGATTCTTTTTTAGTTCTATCTCTCTCTCTTTATACTTGCGCATGACTGACTTTAATGGTAAACGATGCTATAGAACAAGACAGGTCAAATATAAAAGTGAACTTTGATGAATATATATAGAATGAATAGTTTACTAATTATTTGTTAATTGATTCACTAATCAATAATATATAATCCAGTGAGAATTTCTTTTTCTTATTTCTCTTAAATATTTCTTGAGGGTATGTTATCTTTTTATATATACATATATGATAATTTGTTAATTGTCTAAATAAAAGCTTAATTGTTTATATTAAATGCTCATTATTTCAAAATAGTTTTCTTTAGATTGTCTTCTATATTCTTTTTGTTTTTTTTGTTCATTTTTATTATATTTTCAATATTATGTCTATAAAACCAATATCAACAAATGATTTATATCAACATTATATTTCATCATTAAATGTATTACCAAAAATTTCAAAAAAAAATCATCGTATAACAAGTTTTTATATAAATGATATACTTGATGATTCAATAAAAACTTATAATAAAGATTATTGTCAATCAATTTTAATAAATAATAATAATAATAATAATGAAGATTTATTAAATAATATAGAAAAGAAAAAAAAGAAAAAAGCTCGAACAACATTTACAGGTAAACAAATATTTGAACTTGAAAAAAAATTTGAAGATAAAAAATATTTATCATCAACTGAACGTGCTGAAATGGCAACATTACTTACTGTTACTGAAACACAAGTTAAAATTTGGTATATTTTATGAGAATAAAAAAAGGAAAAAAAAAAAATCAAATTGAATATTTTTGTTTTTTTTAAGGTTTCAAAATCGTCGTACAAAATGGAAAAAAGCAGAAAATATATCAAATGCAGAAGCAGCTGAACATAAATTAGGTATAAGAAAAATGTCATCATCATCATCATTAGATCATAATCAAAAACAATTTATTAAAATATCTATAGATGATAATACAAGTTGTAAAAATAGTATTTGTAGTTCAATGGATTCACAACGATCTGATGAACAAATTTATAATGCATCAACTTTATCAACATTTCCTTTATTTTATTTTAATGATTTTCAACATTTACTTCGATCATCATCATCATCAACATCAACACTTAATGGATGTTGTTCTTATTCAATTTCTTCACCATCAATTTCTTCACCTTTACTAAATTCGGAAATGAATCATTGTTCATCATCATGTTCGACATCTATGAATGATAATAGTGATAATTTTAAAGCAAATGAAAATATGCGAGATATTCAAGATCATGCTCGAGACAGAGAACGTGATTAAAAGGAGAAAAAAAAAACAAGATTATTGTTTTGTGTTTGTCTATAAACATTTTTTCTTTTTTTTATTAATAAATGTTATCATGTACTTTTACAATATAAGAAGTTTTATATACTTTTGTAATGGTAATTGGCATAGAGAATCAAAATAGTAATTTGGAATTAAGTTCTTTGTTTCAAATAATGAATTGAGGATAATAAAATTGATAATATTTGACTTTCCTATATCAATTTTAAACTTCTATAGGAAAATCGGACAAAAAAAACTTTCTTACAATTGGTCAAAACATCTGATTTTTTATAGAATTAGTTGGTTTGTATTCAAAAGAGATTGTTATTTTGAGGATCTAGATTTTGAAAAAGCAGGCTTTAGATTTTTTGAAAATAATAAGAATTTCTCATAATTAACAAGATACACTCTACGGATAAATGTTTATAATATTAATCTGTATGATTAACTTTTAAAATCATTGAATATGATTATCTTTATATTTTCATTCATTTTGACAGATTTTTTTTAATATTCCATGTAATATCCCATGATGAACATAATGGTTCATAATATTTTTCATTAGGTGCATAAATTTTTCGTTTGTTTAAATAATCTAAACGACCTTCAAATTCTTTACTAATACCATTATATAAACAATAACGTATTGATGGTAAAACTGGATACATTGGTTTAAGATAAATATTATTTAATTTATATAATTGAAATTTTGTTAATTTTTCTTTTAATTCTCGTACTTCTTTTTCAAGTTTTGTTTCTTTATATGAAATAGTTTGATTAAAATCATATGTTAAAAGTCGCCGTCTTTGATTACCGTTCATTAGAAAATTTTTATAAATATTTCTATGAAACCATGAATCATAATTATAATTATTTGTATTCACACTATAAATAACTTCTTCATGTTTATTATATGTTTTACCATTAATTGGTAATGGCCAATTAGAATGTTCTTGAGATATTTTATCTTGATATCGTTTCCATGCTTGAATACGTATATAAGCTTCGCGTAAATATAAAGATTCAAGTTGAAGATTTTTATACTGGTTTAACTCATGAAAATTATGACGAACACGAAGATTAGGTTTTTTAGGTAATTTTGTTCCCATTTTATAGAGATTTTGTTGTTAAGCAAAAAAAAAATCACAAATAGCGCACTTATTATAATTCATCAAGTAGTTAAATTATCTAAACTTATGAAATAGAATTCGATAAATATAATAATAAAATCATAATTTGTCAATTGCTATTCATTGTTGTTATTTATAGAGGTTTGTAGTTCTAAGAAAAATGAAACCGAAATTTTTGCAATTTCTATGATCAAGAAAAGAGAAGTAACACCATGAATTACAAGAGAATAAAATCGGAATTGTTAATAATGGAAATTCTTTTTAATAATAATTACTTAAGTGGAAGTATGGATGAAGAGAAGATCTCGTTAAGACTCATATCCACATCGCGCACTATTATTCTAAATGCTATGATGCTTCCAGAAAATCAATTCATCAGTTTTTTCATTAATTAGAACGTACGTAAATATAGAACGATGAAGTACATAATGCTTTTCAAAATGAAACGTCTCCAAGCTAGTTGAAATGCAAACAATACTACGGAAATTCCTAAAGTTAGGTTTTTTTTAATACTGTTTCCTATTAAAAATAAAAAAGTCATTTTCTAGAGAATTGTTTGCTCAATCGTTTTGTGTAATCTAGAAGAAATTATATTTCTATGTTCTAGATAAAACCAAATTAGATTTTTGGTTTTCTAATCTCTCTATCTATTAAGAATTTAAAATTATTTTTATTCAAAACATTTTTCTCTGTTCGAATCACTGTTTAGACTTTTTTTTTAAGATTCTAAGATACACTTGAGAATAAACCGTATTGAAAGATTTCAATAGTCAATATATATATTAGTGGTTTTGTATAGTATCTGGCGATTATTGGTTCGTATGAGTGTTTGAAGGGACAAAAAGAAAAGGAACTTGGAATTCTGATTTCGAATATTTTTTTTTTTGCATCCATTACTTTTAATACGTAGACTTATTATCTCGCGTGGGTTTAATAGATACCGACATAATAACAAAACCAAACAGCTATTCTCTAATTCTATGTATTGAAGCGATTATCGTCTTCTTTGAACGATGAAATAGATGAGTATAAAGAATAGAGTGCAGTGTGTAAATACATTCTGTTAAAAAGGAATCTAATGTAAATTTACGACGATAGTTAAAGATGAACAAAAAAAACAAAACCGACAGTTGAATATAAAACAATAATGAATGAAACTACTTATATGTATATAAATGTTTTAAATCAAGAAAACAATTTATAACAAAAAAATGTCATATTAACCTTAGTTTAAATGTAAAAAATATGAAGAATTTTAAATTCATTTGACGAGTACTTGCTAGCAAACGATAGGAAAAAAAAATACTAGTTCATTTCTGAATACTCAATACATTTATAATCAATTTCATTTGGATCAACAAATGTCGATTAGTTTCTTTGAAAAAATATTTCATAACACAAGTATTTCTATTTTAGTTTATTCTTCTAGTTGTAATAACTGTTGTGAAAGTTCTTAAGTACATGTCAGATTGAACTGTATCCGAACAGAAGGTAAACATAACGTTCTTTCTATTACGACTCAATAGAGCGTAATGTCTAATTTAAAATGAATTATTTGGCTGACTACAATTTGTGTACAAGTCACGACACTGATCTGAGTTTCTTCAAAACTTGTGAAAAAATGACATATTTTAAATTTTCTCAATTAAACTTTTGCGTTATCAAAAAAAAAACAAAAGTCAAAATCTTAGCTAAGACAATATCTTCCAGGGTGACTTTTGTAGATTATATAAATAATTATATTCATTCATGTTGTTATTTAGTTCTGATAGACTACTTTTCTTTGCAAGAGAGGCCCTCTAAATTATTATAATTCTTTTCTATAAGCAATTAGAACAAGATTGATAACAACATGAAGAACTCTTTTCAAATAACAAGAATATATAGAAAAAAATTAATTAAAATGTTTACTCAAAACTCATTTGATAGTTGAAATTCTGAGATATTCTTTTAAACAATAAATTATTAAAATTCTGCCCCATAGATGGACCCAACTGTAAATAAATTATGCTGATATTTTCAGCTAAACAGAAATTTCTCTTCATGAGATATGAAAACTCTCAAAAATCACTGATATTTCACAAAGGATTAGATAATCTTCTGTTTTTTGGGCGGAAACGAAATTCAATATCTCACTAAGGTAACATTCTTTTGATCTAAAATTTCCAGTATAGTCCAGTTGAAAGTAGACTAATCTTTAAACAATATCGCAGATCGAACTATGAAAGTTTTCTCATAGGTAAAATTTTAGGCTTATAGATATGAGTATAATTTAAAAGTTCATATTATTCGTTCATGAAGAAATGTTCATTGGCAATCAATTCACTTGCCTCTAGACTATCAAAATAAGCATTACTAAATGTATGAATTACTTCTTCCAAATTATGCCTATTTTTTAGGTATTAATATATAATAAAACATATAAATTTAAATGTAACTTTGCTGTTCAATGATAGAAAAACATGCTAATGAAACAACCATGATTTGTCTAGTAGCGATAACTATTATGATAGTTACCAACATACTTTTTTTTTTAAAGAGGTCGTTGCCTCAACAAATTGTAACGCAATGGCAAGTTGAAAAAGAAAAAACTTGTAACTATTAGTTATAGTCATATAAAAAAAAATTGTTGCTTATTGTTTTATCAACATGTCTGAAGAAGAATCTGAACATGAAGAAGCTGAAGAAATTGAAGCAGAAAATAAATCAGGTTCTTTTGCTTTTTTTTTTTTTGTTTTTATTAATTTAATAAATAATTGATATTTAAGAAAATGATGGTGAAGAAGAAGGAAAATCTGAACATAGTGAAGAAGAAGCTGAAGAAGAAGTATAAAAAAATTGATTGACATTTTTCTTTTTTTTGTCTTTTTAAAAAATTTTTTCTTTTTTATTTAGGTACGTGAAGAAGTTCCATTAACAGATGAAATTATTGCACAATCACTTTCATTACTTGCAAAAACAGGAAATGGTTTAGCACATGCTTATACTCGTCTTGAAGCATCAAATCGGTAAAATTTAATTTCGTTTTTTTTTTTAATTCAAAAAAAACGAAATTTCTATTTATTTTAATAAATAGAAATTTAACGGATATAACACGTCTTGAACCATTTATTCATTTACGTTTTATTGATTTATCAAATAATCGTCTTCGTATAATAAATTCATTAAATCGTTTAAAATTTTTATTAACACTTAAACTTGATTCAAATGAATTATCAACATTTGATTTACCACCATTTCCATATTTACAAACACTTAGTTTAAGTAATAATCGTTTACGATCAATTGTTGGTATTGCACAACCACGATTAGAAACACTTAATCTTAATCGTATGGTTTTTTTTCGTTTTTTCAATAAAACAAAAATCAACTCTGTTTATTTTTTTTTGTTTTGTTTAGATAATCAAATTGATAGTTGTACGGGTCTTGAACAAAGTAAATTACCAAATTTAATAACACTTGAAATGCGAGAAAATCGTTTAACAACAACAAAAAATATAGCATTACCTAATTTAAAAAATTTATTTATTGTAAATATTACAATAATCATATATATATAAATTAGCGTTGTTGTTTTTTTTAGGCAGCTAACAATATAACACAACTTGAAGATTTACATGAATTAAATCGTTTAACAACACTTCATTTACGTGATAATAAAGTTGAAATATTAGATGGTTTTAGTGAAAATATGAAACATTTGCAATATGTTAATTTACGGTATAGACAAATAATTATTTCTTATATATATAAATATGAAAAATTTTAGTGCGAACAATATAACTGATCCAGAAGAACTTAAAAAATTAGCTGTATTACCAATGTTAAGAGCACTTGTTTTATTAGGTAAAATGATTGAAAAAAAGAAGTGTCTTTTTTTTTTTTAGTAAATATTTTATTTTATATAGAAACACCTTTATCTGAAACTGATTCATATCGAATGGAAGTATTAGTTGCTCTTGATAAACTTGAACGGTAGAAATTTTTTTTTAACAAAATTTGATTTTTATTTAAATTAATTATTATTTATTAGATTGGATAAAGATCAATTTAATGAAGATGAAAAACATGATGCATTAGAAGAACAAAAACGTCGAGCTGAAGAACAACGAGAAGTAAGAAAAAAATATTTTTTTTTCTATACATTTATTTATTCTATTTAGACAACAGCTGATGATAGTTCAAAACAAGAAGGTGCTCCTGAAGAGGAACAATAAATTGCCTTTTTTTGTGTGTAGTATAACAACAAGAAGTTTTTCTTTTTTTATATTCAAATAAATCATTTGTTACAACATTATCTCCCATCGGACATTTACTTAATTTGATTTTTATATATAAAAAAGTAACTTCATCAACAAATTCAAACAACATATGAAATTAAAAATAAATATCGGAAATAATTATTATATCAATCTAAATAAATACTTATTCATCTTTATGTACAAATTACATCATATTAAGATAAATATATATTTTTTTTATTAGCCTTGAACTGACTCTATATACATATATATTCGGAAATGAATTAAGACACATGTTCATATAGACTTCTTCTTTTTGTATTTTAAAAAAGAATTTAATATTGTTGAGTCAATCAATCATTTGATTCAATAAAAAAAAAAAAAAAAGAACAAGTAACTAACATGAAATGGAATATGACTACTTATATGATTAGACCCCCAAAAAAAGAAAAGACTATAGGGCATATAGAACAACTAAAGTGATTTTTCAAAAAGCCAAGATGAAAAAATACCATTACTAAGACGAATCAAATTTAATACAACAATGATGATGATCCTTATTTGTCTCAAGATGATAATAGACAGACTCTACTATAAGCAAATTTTACAGAATACAATGACAATTTACAAGTAGGTAGAAAGATGTTCGAACTTGATCTTATATTCATATATATATATATATACAAAACAACCAAATCGATTTCGTAATCTTTAACCTTTATACATAAATATGGGTAG